CGTAGGATTAGGAACGCAGTCCCAGAGTAAGGGTTAGTATTCTATGGTTAAAATAATTTGTATCTGTGTGCGTGTACAGTCTATTACGAATACGTACAAATTGGATCGGCAATTGGCTCTTATTATCTTTCTTTCTTAATATTTGATCTCTACTCCATTAGAGTTTTACAAAGGGGAAATCTCACTGGAAAGGCGGGAAAATTCATTCGAAACGTGAAACCGCCGCTCAGAATCGTGAAACAGTTTCAATCGATTAGAGTTGTCGGATGTTTCCGCGACGGTGAAATACGGTCAGATTTACTCTTCGATTTCGAGTGGAAGATATTTACTCGGCGATCCCCGGAGTGGGGGAATTCGCTCTACGGAAAATCGCACGGACACGGCTATCAGCCTACTGATCGAAATTTCAATTCGAGGAATTCAGATAATATAAACGTAGTCGAACGAAATAATGCTTATCTCGGTAGGCTTTAAGACGCGAGACACCGACGTAGAATGTTCATTCGGTTTAGTCGCTCTAATGCCGGCGCTTGGACGAGAAAACGCGCCGATCAGGCTCCTCGATTTAACGTCGCATCGATTATGAGGGCCGAGAGCGAGAGTAACCGCGAGTTTGCGAAAAGATATATACAAGTACACGTATACATATATATATATATATATTCAAGGCGCGCCTCCGTCCTTAAAGAAGATAGGACAATGGGGCGGGAATTCGCGTACTGCTCTCGCGTCGGCTCGTATTTGACGTTAATGGAACCATCGCCGTTTCACGGCCGGCGTGTATCTTCCATCTCTTCGCGGCCGGTGTACATTTAATCGCGTTTAATTGAAATCGCCGCTTACGCAAACCCGCTGTAATTGCCCGCTCAAACAGCCAGCGAGCGTATGCTCCGGGAGAAAGTTAAAATTCAAGGATCAATACAGACGCGTTAGATTCGCCGCGCGGAGGGAGAGATTCCCGCGCGTCGTTTCGCCATCTCCTCCGTGGGCGAAGCGTGTGAAACCCCGGCGAATGTAAGCCACGATGAATGTTCGGTCTGCGCGTCTACGCATAAACATTACAATAGTCCACGTTCCTGCACATAAACGCACCGTAAACTAGATTTACCGGCGTAAATCATTTCGGATTTGCCATCTCCTCGTCAGCGAAATAAGAACGGCAGCGCGAACTGATTCCAAATAAATGTACCCGCGAACAAACAGGACGCGCAGCGTAAAATTATTCAAGGCGTGCGATACGATCTAACCGACTGTATCGATAAGTAACATCGCGCACGCTCTCGCACCTGAATTCCCCGGCGCGAGAAATCGATATCCTGAATCATTCGCGTCGAAAAACCGCAAGGTGCGTTATCGCGCCGCGTCGGACAATTTGAGCGCGATAAGCTGACGCCGCCGATTTTCAAGTTCAACTCGATGCATCGCCCGTACACCGTCGTCTTCCAACCTCGTTACGTAACCGCCGTCGATATTATTTCGGGCGGATAGAGTCATCGCTTTCTGTTTACCCGCAGGTGCGTCCGACCGCGGTATTTTTCACACAAGCCGGTATTCGTCGTCGGCGGCGCGTTTTATTCATCAATCAAACACAGTCGCGACGCTTGGGGCCTTATCAAGGCCTACGCGAGATATTTACTTTTCCTTGCCCCAGACAAAAGGAAGTGAGAATAGAACACTTGAGAGCCGGGAGATTAAAAGGAGAGCTCGAGCACTGAGACAGTTAGATCCGACACGCGTATGAATCTTGGGCGGTGCTCTTTAAGAGAGAAAGAGAATCTACTTGCCGAAATAGAGAGGAGGTTATACTCAATTCAAAATGTGTGCGTGCGTGTGTGTGTGTGTGTGTGTGAACGCATTTCCCAGTACGTTTGATATTAAGAAAGGATTCCACTCTCCGTGCCCGCTACAACTTGAAATCGCAATTGATGAGCTGCGATAAGCGCAGGATAGGAAGCACGGTACGATGAAAGAAGTCGAGAGGGAAATTGTCTGAAGTATCCGTTGCGTGGAGGAAGGAAATCGCGTCATGCGCTAATAACAATTACGCGAGAGCAATTAATTCGTTAATTAACGTTCAAGCAGCATCGAAGCAACCGGTTTCGGTTCGGAAATAATACAACTGTTTCGGAAACAGGAAAGAGAGAGAGAGAGAGAGAGAGAGACAGACTTCAAAATACACGGAGGAACATTTAATTTTTTGGAAATCTTCGTTAAAGCGCTTATCGCTTGATACACGGGATAAACAATTGAAAAGATCGCTTAAGATGACGCGGTCTCAGCCTCTCGGCGAAACGCCGGGCCAAAGTATCATTTATTTTCCTCGAAACGTCTCTCATCGTTTATTCACTCCTCAGAAAAGATTAATCCCAATTCAAGGCTCATATTTTGATATAGAAAGAACGATGTCTTCAAATTGATACAATTTTCAAAGTTTGACAATATCGTTCTTTGTATCCGATACTTCATACCTCTCAATTTATGAAAATTATTCTTGAATAACAAGAATACGATATTTCCAACGGAACTATATAGAATTTCTTCAGGTGAGAGTTTTATCTTCACGTAAGATTACATATTCTTGCCTGTGTATGAGAATGAGTCTTGAATCGATACTTATTTCTTTTTTCCCGTGAAAGTGAACGAAAACGATCCTTAAAAGGACGTTCGAGCAGCATCGAAATATCGACTCGATCTCTCAGTGGGCCGATCGAACGGCGGAAATCCACGTTTACTCGGCTGGCCTTGTTACCGGCGCGTCGTGGACCCCGTCGTCGGCGAAATTGAGTTTGTCTCCCGTTTCACCCCGGCGAGGCTCTGGCGTCTCTCCTATCTATCGCGTCTGCTCGCGTATCCGTTCCGCGATCGGCGAAGGCGAGGGGTTTCTTGACCCTCGACGTGTCCCGACGCGGTGTGTCGCGACGTGGCGCGACGCGACGCGCGGGAAGGGATCGAGGCGCGCGCGAAGGGCGTTTTCCCGCCCTACGCCCGAGGCCGCTCGATGGGATCACCATGGAGACAGACGTCCCCATACCTTTATTCCCCGAGATATTTCCCCATGAAGCTCTCTCTCGCTCCCTCTGCCTCCCGGCCCGCTCCTTCGTCTCTCTGCCGCTCGCAAGGCTCGCAAGGCTCGCGTTCTCGAGCGCGCGCGCGTGTCCCACCCTGGGCCGAAGGTCGGCGGATTGAGCTAGGTCGCATTTGCGGGGGATCCACCCCAGAAGCCGTGGATTTTCTTATAATGCGCGGGAGGCTACGCCCGACTCAGCCGGTCGACGCTCGCGTTTTGCGTTTCGCTAACTTCGAGACTCGGAGTTTGCGCGCGCGTCCGCCCCGGGCAGAGTTTCGAGAGGTATTTCCCTGCGCGGAACAGAATTCCCCGTCGTTGTTCTCGGCCGCGTATTATTCGCCAGTCGATGCTCTTTACGTCGCTTATCGAACGTATCGGATGGGCATTTGTCGCAAACTATGTAGATTCTAAGAGTACACGGGGAAAAAAGATCGGTTGAGAACTAACGTGACAATGAAGGGACCAAATAAGTTTTCGTCCGAAGAGGATCGAATTTCTGCGCTGAGAAGAAATCCTACCGTTATCCAGGTAATATTTACTTGATTTAAGGAAATTCGTTATTCTAATACTCTTTGGCAAATATTTATCAGTAGTAGAAATGATAATGACCGCATACAATATGATATTTCCGACGTGCAACTAGACATTTAATTATATACGAAAATAATTGAAATAAGTATTAAATTTATAATATTGAGAATATTCGAATTTATTTTTGGAAAATATTTACTAGACCGAGAAACTGCATTTTAAAGCCACTAGATTCCTTCAATGGAAAAGAAGTATCACATAATTCTAATAAATATTCTCTTAATTTTAGAACTATTTTACACTTACACTGAAAAAAAGTATTTAAACATTTACTTGTGGAATATAAGGTTTATATATTTCTGTGAAATAAACCTTATTTTTATGATATAAATTTTATATCCTATAAATAAATCTTTAGTGCTTTTTCTCTTAATTTACGTCCAAAACTTCATTTACAATTAAGATGTTACTGCGTTTAAGTATTTACTACAGGCTATTAAAATATATTTAATATGATAAAAATATTACTTGAGACATAAGAAATTGAATAACAAGTAATTACTTCAGACTTAAGAAGCTTAAAAACAGGTAATTACGTTTATTTGAATCTAGTACTTTTTTTCTGTGTGGTTTTAAGAACAAAGTTTGGTTTATAAGAAGCAGAAATTCTGTTTCCTTTAATTAAAATATATTCGGTTCGTTCATTGTCACGTTAATCCAACCTAAATATTCTTCCTCTTTGTAGGAATAAGGAAGTGAGGATAACGTGACGATACTGCGCTATAATATCCGGCCTCTTGTCCCTTCTTTATCTTTCTTTGATTGTATATAAGATTCTCATGTTTCGTTAAGGGATTGGTTGAAATACCGTAATGGGCGAAACGATTAAGATATTAGTAACCTTAATGACGTTTATTCACGGAAGCTCCGCTCGCAATCGAATTAAGCGGATCCCGTCCGACTTTTTTCAGATTACTCAAATATAATCCAGCGTACACAGCTGCTTTCGTTAGATAGGAGACAGCGATTAAAAACCCCAATTAATTTCACTGCCAAGCGTTGAGATCGTGTAATGGGATTCGGAAAACCTTCATTTATTAAGCGACTGTTTCAGCCTGGTTGTAATTATTCTCATCGTGTCCGAACACAATATAATGCGATACAATGGAATAAAATTATATGATGAATGAAACTGTCACATAAAACGGCGGATTAGCCGAATACGATGCGGATGATTAGAAAGAATAATTAGTTTCAGCCTAACGAACGTTAAGGCTTATTTGTCGTATCGAAGCTTAGTGTATCGAAATGGCTGCAACGACTCCGCATTTTCGTTGTAATACAAAATCGCCGATAATCGATTGATTGATCGACGTTACATAAAAGTAGCGTGAATTTTCAGACAACAGAACGTGGCGTTACTGGTCGGGCCGGGCGAAGCTATTGATGAATCACTTATCACAAGCATTCCAGACGCACGAACAGCTGCCTCTTCCTAACGATCTTCTTAACCGAAGCAAGGGAAAGAGAAGAAAAGGAAGTGAAACAAATAGAAAGGAGGGAAAAGAAAATCAAGGATAAATATCAAAGGTATTTTCCGACGAAGGCTTTTGAAAAAGACATACAGCGTTTAATCTCGAATGGATCTGTAGGAAGCTAGGCCGCGGGGCATATTCCAATAGTCGTAAATACTTCTAGGTTTTGAGAAAGCATTTTCAAGAAAATCTTGCTTTTTCCACGGAATAATGACGTGACGAGATAGTGACACGACGGGTAAGTCAGTTTATTTGATTGACGACGTCGGGTTCCCTTTCAAGATACAACCAAGGTTTCAGGTTTCGAATTACGTGACCGGATATGGTTATTTGAAATTTTGGACAGTGCTTTGTACTTCCGACGAGAAGTCGTGAAAATTTCACCCGAAGAGCAACACCCGCCATTTTGACGCCGAAGTAGCACATCTTTCCCCAAGTAGCGCATCAAGCTTTAAAACAGCTGCGATAACGTTGTCGCGGCTTAAATCGCGGAATTTTTCATTGTCACCGCTACTTTACAATATCACTATGACGTTTTGATAAAATTGCAGCAGGAAAAGTAGAACGACATTTTTAATCTTTGAAAATTATGTCGCGGTCGTTTGGCTGTACAACTATTTTGCCGTAATGAGGTTGTCGTAGCTACATTACAGCAGTGATAGACAGGATATGTCGCGGATCGAGCTGGTCTCGCCGAAACGAGACGGCCGGAACACCGGGTTGCCGCGCGACAGGCGAGGCGGTCTCACGCGCGGATTGTCCTCGCCGCTGTAATTCGCGGCGTACGCCGCGAAGCGGCGCGCCGCCCGGACGGTCCGCCCGCGAGCGAGTTCCCTCACGCCGGGTATATCAAAGCTCTTTGCAACAGCGAGTAGCCGTATCATTCTTATTTAAAGTCCTCGGATATAGTTAACAGGACTAAATCAGTTAAAACATTCGAGGAATTAAGAAAAAAATGTCGAGATATAATTTTTAACCCAGTTCTCGTTTCGATAGTTTATACATTTTAGATCTTGATCTAATAAGTTGTTACATTTTTTCTCCATTCAGTTCATCTTCAAATTTTCCAATTACCTTCTTATTTTTATTACTGTGAAGGGGGATGATCTTTCGGGTGATCGGATGCGTCGAACAAGTCTAGATTATTTATTATGAACTCATAGAAATCAACATCTTTAAACTCATATATCTAAGAATTAAGTGTCTTGATGACAATTTAAGTTTGTCATTAAATTCTTCTTTAATTACATTATAATGAACATTCATACATTAACGATCTCGATAAATCCAGTACAGCTTGTCCAGTGTAAATTGGGCTTATTAAACAATACCTTCCGTTTTATAATTATGAACTGCCATTAAATGCTCACTAAATATTGTTCCTGACTTGAAATATGTTTATTTATGGTTTATTTGTAGCTTTTTGTATCTTTTCTTCAATTATCACGAAACTTATTTTATGACTCAGGCTACTTTAAATAATACTGGATTTGCGTGTCGCGATGTTTCTTTAGCCAGCGCTTTCTCGATAACAATGTACACCGACGTGACGAAAGGAGATTACACTCGGGACTATCGGCAGCCAGGGATTGGTCGGTCCGAGCGAGGTATGTATTTTATTTTTCTTGCAACCATATCGATCGTTGTTTATACAAGCGACCATAAATAACCTGACTATACTTGTGTCGGAAAAAAAAAAAAGTAACAACGGTTTATCTCGGGGGTGCTTCTTCTTCCGACACGTCACTGTGTTCTTGGGATATTTACAAGGTTCCTAAAGCAGATAATGCTCGGCGGTGGATCACCTCGAGATTGCATTATCATTCGATAGATATTATTCACAGAATCACTACATTATCGATAATCAGATTCGTGTCCGTTGTCGCGTCGCATCGTGTCTCTCTCTCTCTCTCTCTCCTTATTTCGAAGCGATTCTTCGCGGGCATCCTAAAGTTCCTTGGAAATGCGAGACACAGGAGAAAAGTGAGACAGGAAGGACGTAACCCAGCGGTGTTCCCTCTTGAATCATCCGCAACTGGTGCAACGTGGCGCAACGTGGCGCAACGCGTTACAAGATTCCTCGTGACCGCGACCTGACTCAACTCTCCGGGGCCCTCGGTCACGATCGATATAGCTATTCCGAGCCGAGGAAATTACCGGAAAGATTACCATGTCCAGCTAGAATAGCGAAGCCAACAAGGGCTAGGGGATGCTTTCTCCGCGAGCTCGCCGACAGGTGAGGACAATGAGCTTCCGCGGTTCGGCAAGTCGCGCAACCAACGTAACAAGCGAAGCGCATCGCGCCAGGTTATCGCACGCGAGTTAATTATATCGAACGACGAAAATACCGCCGCGTATTTTATAGCCCGCGAGTGTTTTCGTACGGGGGAGGAAGCGATATTTTTATCTCTCTTGTAAGCTACATAGATCTCTCTCTCTCTCTCTCTCTCTCCGCCCCAATTCGGAAGAATCGGGCAAACTAGGTCTCGCTTCCTTTATGTAAGAGCTACCCGAAATGTAATGCGTCTCAACGGCGACTTGTTTTATCATCCGGGAGAAAAAGAGTGGCTCTATGCTTACTCGCGGAATGGATAGATATGAGAATAAGCGAGTTATATAGGAGCGGAAGGGGGAGAGGGAGAGCGGACTACGCTCTCGTATACGAGAAATCGTTTAGGCGCGGTCGCGGAAGATTCATCGGAAAACACTCCGGGAATATTTGGGACGAGTTCGGGGAAGCGCAAAATTGCGCCTCCCTCTTTCTCTCCCTCTCTCGTTCTTTTTCTTACGACGGAACATTATGAGGCAAAAGCCGGCTGTTTGTCCGGCTGGAGAAACCGTTTCCATGGCGTCGTCGTTAATTGCGCCATTTTCTACGACGCTCGCGACTCAAGAACGAATGTCAAACAAAACTGTTCTCCCTCATTATTCTAACTCAAGCAACGCGTCCTCGAAGGACCGGTAGCCTTTGTAATGTTAATGCCTCCGCCTTGCGTCCCGGTACCCCGTTTCCCTTCGATCTCCTGCGATGCCGTTTTCGTCAGACTACCGTAACGTCAGGTCGATGGATGATCGATTATTAGGTCACCCCTGAGTACCTGTACAAATTCCGTACAGTTCTTGGAAAGAGGCAATCATTCTTTCCATCGTTGTTCCCATACATGAATGGCCAATTGAGTGCGTCGCCTCGGCTGTAAGGAATCCAAAAGCAAAGACGATGGTCACCTCCATCGTCGTAGCCTACTTCTGAATAATGCAACGATCCACGTTGCCCCGTCACATGAATATATTATATGTGAAAATATATTATTTAAATATTCACCAGGAACGGGTGGAATCTCTAAAACGGCATAGAAGTCCATTATTAACCGGTTTAAGCCTTTTCATTCTTAAAATTGTACAATACATGTAGGTGCACATCTGATAAGGCTTGAGATTCTTTGAATAAAAAAAATTGACTATCCCTTTTCACCCTTACATCATGTTGGTTTCGTTAGATTGATTAGATGTTAGATTTAGCATGAAATATTTCCTCAGTTTTCAATGAAAAAATTTATGAAAGAGATTAAACCGTAAGATAAGTCATTAAATAATTTAATAGTTGAGTAGTTGAGACGCACAAAATCGTCACTAACCGCATAAGTAATAAATTGGTTGCATTAAAAATCACTTATTTTGATCTTTAAGGGGATCCCGCAGTCATCCTGTTTCACCGCAAATTTGTTAGTATAATACTCGTTACTGATTACACAGAATTAAAATCCTTTTACACAATTACAATATACATGTAGGCGAGGACGATTGGTATTATTTAAAAAACGGAAAAGTTTCATAACTTGTTTTTCGCTTTTCGAATAAAATCCATCGTCCTCGCCTATATTAACGTTTATAATTCAACAAAAGGATTTTTAATTCAGCGTAGCCAATATGAATTGTGGAATAAATAATGAATATAATACTAGGAAATTTGCGATAAAACGTAACTCCAGAATCCTTTTAAAACGAATTTTGACCACTTTGTCACGGCTTTAAACGGATAATAATTCTACTATCGTATTGAACGATCCAAAAAATATAAGATTATATGTAAAATTTATATTTCACATTTTAGAAAACAATCGGTCAATTTTACCCATCGTTTTCTTCTACCTAAACTTTTACCTAAACCTTTTACCTAAACCTTTACCTAAACTTTCTACTTAAACTTTTACCTAATCTCTTCTCAGCGAGAGAAACCCTCACCGGAACTTTCTTTCTGTCGATTTTCAGGTTTCTCACATTTTTTGACTCTCCATTGTCCCTTGCAATTTCGTACTATTTTTTGTCTATTTTGCTTCCATTGTCCGCCATCTTTTCAGCGGCACTTCAAAGACTTTGACGTATATACAATACGTTCGGAAAGTTTACTTTGATCGATAAGTTGAAACATATATAGGACGAAGCTCGATACTGTTCATATGATTCTGATTAAGTGATTTAATTTCACTGAATGTAACCTTCTAAATTTCGCCCGGCATTATTAATTCCAAATCTGTTGTGCTTTCACGAGCTAAATGTGCACGTTATTAATTATAATTTTGATCTTATTATTTCAAAATAAAGAAACCCTTACAAAAATTCTGCAAGACTATATAAAATAGGTGTAAATCGTGTTGCAAAGTATTGTTTGTTATAATAATAATAATAATAATATTAATAATATTATTATTATTATTATTATCATCATCATCGTCATTATTGTTTCTTCTTCCCGAACTTAAATAGGTACCAACGCGAGCAGTTAATTGAAGGCTCTACTACTAGAGTCGCGAGATCGCTCGGCTTCTTCACCAAAATTAATCTCATTGTCGAATTTGCGAGCTAACAGCGCGGGAGCAGAAACTACACGAGATCCGCCGAGGAGCGGATATACACGGAATTTATCGGAGGGTTGTTGCGGCATTATATGTATATTGGTGTGAAATAATCCTTATCATGGGCGACCCCTAGCTACAGCCGGAGAAAACTTCTCTTCAACGCCAAAACGGACGATACACGACGCGTTATCACGGTGTGTTATCGCCTAAAGGAGAGAAAGAACAGCGCGTTCGTTTACGACGGAAGCCGCTCCAGGAACAACTTTTCTCTTTCTTTCTCTCTCTCTCTCTCTCTCTGCGCACGTCCCGAAGAGCGAAGTTCGGCCAGCGAACTTTTCGATAGAGTCGCGCGGTTTGTGCGGTAATCGGATATTGGCACGAGAAGAACACGACTCTGGACGGAGGAAAGTAACACGGAAGTTACTTGAAGCCATCTTCGAGTTATCGTACATGGGTAAATTGTGATCAACGTTTGATCGACCGCCCCGCGATCGAAATTTTGATGTTACTCTGACGCTCTTAAAGACAGTTATAATGCACCTACTTAGATGGTGTGCAGTGACGATAACATGCTAATATGCAATAGCTGGTATTAGTTATAACGCATTTTTATTTCTGCATTCCAATACGTTTTCAATACGTTTATATTTTGGCATTTAATCATACATGCTTCCTCATTATTCTTAAACTTGGACCCATTATCGCACAAATATGTGTGCACTTCAGTATTTTGTTCGTTATTTAATATTTTATTCCGCTGTACGAGTTGTGCAATAGCATGACATTTTTGCTAATTTAGCGCCCCACTAAAGTAGGTGTAACACGGCTACTTTCTCTAAATTTTCATATCAAAATAGTAATTTCATAAATCATTAATTCAAGTTAAGTTTAAAAGTCTATTCGTTTTGTAGAAATTGTCATTTAACAGTTTGTATCTACCTAACTTACCAATCTATTTTCACGAGAAAACATTGAAAATAGAAATTTAAGACGTTTCTTAGGCTCGAAATAAAAGTAAATTATATTATTAGAATTAAAATTGAGCCTACTAAAGTGAAAATGTTGCTATCTTAGCTTTTACGGTGTTGCAGAATTAAAAGCTTAACATTGGGCCAAAATTTCGACTCGTTGATGGGAGGAAGAAACGGAGTTGTGACATACGCGAGAAGATTTTCGGTGAAGTGTAATGAGCGATAACAGCCTTGTCTCTTAGCAGGGGACGGTGAAAGGAAGGAAAGAAGGAAGGAGAACCGTTCGCGCAGCGACGAAACCCGAAGAAAGACGGGATGGTATCTATCGATCGGCTGCCGTCACCACCCCGACGCTACTTATCATTCCGCGACGCGCTTCCGCTGGAAATACGTGTCGGAAATTGCATCTTCCGCGTGTTACGTCGCAGTCGTGAATGTGTCCACGTAATTAGGGAGAGACGTCCAGTCGCCAGAAACGCGCGCGCGAATATTGAGATAGGCGTGGCTGCCAATCGATTAGAAATATCAAACGCAGCGGCGACGAAAACGACGATTCACTGATACGTAGACCCCCCGCAGTGAATGTTTATCATCCGACAAGAATAATATTTGGTATTTGTCAAGAGGAAATCTATCGCATTCTCGCGCGATATGTCGCGCTATAACACATACGTTAGGTATCTTACGGAATACGTTGATTTATATGACCGACAATTTTTCGAATTTATAGAATATTTACCCAAAAATCGTTAACTTATTGAAGACGATTGTGTCGTAGATAGAGCCATACGACGCGATAGAAAGAAATTTTTTTGTTTTTACTCACGGAAGTTTATGATAGTTTACGCCGAAAGGATCTCAGCATTTGCGAAACACAGGCCCTTATTCGAAATTAGTTACGATTTCTTGATCGACGGTCTAATTAATTGTAGATTCGTACTTATAAACCTTGATTTATGTCTTGTTGGATCATCCTTACTGATGTATGATGATATATGTGCTGATTAACGAATAACCAATGATTCACGAAGCTATGTGATTATTTATCAAATGATGAAGAACTACGAATGCGGGTCTTATAATAGATTCGAAACTTCGATTCAAACAACGACTCGTGCATCTTTTTATTCTCGTGAAGTTCGATAAAAGTTTTGTATAAGGGAGTTGACGTACTTGGAAATACATGACGTATCACTGCCCGCATCCTGTGACCTTCGTCCTGGCTCTTCAATTCAGCATCCCTTCGACTAACCATCGCGATTCGTTAAATAACGCGAAGGGCCCGATTAAATCTTCATCGTCCGACGAGGAATGTAAACAACGATACACCGATACGCGTAATCCATTTTAAGCCTCAGCAAAATGAAACAGTAAATAATCATTTTTCGCATCAGGTAACAGTAGTCCGCATAATGTTACATTGCGAGATTCTTCATTAACTCTGGAAATACGGCGGGATTTTTACCGGGTTAATGGATAACTAAAATTTCCATTTTAATCTCAATCACACATCCGGCCCATTTATAATCGGCGGAATCATCGAGCCGTTGCTGCGCTAAGAGAGACGAGGCAAAAAGCGACGGTACGGGTGCGTGGATACGCAATTGCGAGAATATGTACACACGAAGATTCGCCAAAATATCAGATATCATATCGAGTATCACGCGAGAGACGGGTGAGAGATGTAGATGTGTGGCTCGAGCCAAACACGATATTCCGCTCTTAACGTTTCCTCGGACCTTTCTTTCACCTTTTGTCCCTCCTTGCCTCCCCTCTGTAATCCCCTCATAACCCGCGCCTCACCTCGCCACTTTCGCGAGTGCATCGAAGTCACGAATGTGCGTGCATTCGTATTCCAGCTGTTCGGCCGTTGAATTTACAGTCCCTGTCTACCACCTCTTTCTTTGCACGTCTCTCTCTCTCTCTCTCTTTCTCTCTCGTTTCCCGGAATCACGAAGGTGCGCAACCAAATTAGGCGTATGTTCGCGGGTGACCAAAATATTTTTCCTTCTCCGTCCGGATAATCCCGACGGGCGTACAACGCGACGAAGGCGAAGGCCAGGAGGAGAGAAAGAACGAGGAATTCGGTAATCGGCGGGACTCGTGATCGGCGGAATTATGCGGGTCGGGCAATGAGAAAAACCGATGCTATCGTCCGAATGAATCACGTTGCTGACTTTGAGGTCGTTCCACCTTCCTCCCGCAGTCTAATTCGAGCGATAGCGATGCGAAAGGTATATATTTGCAATATTGCAGTGGAGTTGTAATGATATTATATATTTAACATATTTTTTATTGAGATCAACAATAAAAATTAAATGCAGGTAGACTGTCGAGTTAATTAATTAATTAATAATAATTAAGTAATAATAAATTATTGATGATAATTAAATAATCATAATATTAATATGACTAATATTAATAATATTGATCATTAAATATTAATAATATTGATCATTAATGAGCACGAGCGCGGCATAGCAGGCAGCGCACTGGTCCGCTATATCAGAGGTTCGCCTCGCGGTAAAAGCAAAATATTTTCATACGTCTCTTCTCTAATAGACTAGCAAACCACTGAGAATATTATATATAATTACCATATACTTGAAATATAAGAAATTGATATAACATTATATAATAATAATAATAATAGTATAATATTTATTAAGATTAAATTATTATCTTAAAAACAATATACACACAAGTGTATTAACGTAGAATACACTCGCGTTATACTCAAATAAAAAACCTATGCAGTCAGCAATTTAACGAGACAATTCCAATATTTCGGTCAAATTATATTTTGGAAGATTGTCCTGATATTCAGATTTCGATATTATGATTATATTTTCCGAAAATTTGGTCCCACTTTTAAATTTCAATATATTTTCTTATCGGGACTATATGCGTGTTCGTCGCAAAAATTCACGGGATCGC